AGTCATACTTTTCAGTCATAACTCCTTTTCCTACTGGATCTAATCACGCGAATTTTCGATATGTGTAGCATGGGTGTATTGTGAATACTATTAACCTGCAATCTGATCATGTTCCAGATATCCCAAAGGGCTTGAACTCAAAATCAACTAGAAATACGAATGCTCTTCCTTCTGAAACTTCTTTCCTTTTCGTCATGTCTGAAGTGTACGAACGCTAATGCCGAACACAGTGGAGAACAAAAACGCACATATGCTGCGAATAGCAAACGTCAATAACTTTGCTTTTAGCGAAATCTGCTGCCGCACAAGCATCTTATTTTAATTATGTGGATATTGCTGCTTCACAACCAAATAGTGTTGGATAGTGTGAAATATGCCTTAATTAAAAATGTCAAAATTTCGCGCTATTTGCTTCACTAGAAAAAAGTTACGAACGAAACAGGTTGAAAGCGTTTGACCGGATACTTTTGAGCGTTACTGTAGGACATCAAAATAAGGCCTTTGAAGCAGCGTTTACACAATGTGGGGGAAGAGGCTTATCAAATTTATCACTCACTCGACAAATTGAAGAAGCGGTTCTAGAATGAAATCTTATGATCGAAATCTTTTGGCTGTTGCTATATTTATGACTGCTTCATCGTAACACAGACACAGTTCGAAATGGAAGAGGGTTTACGAATTATGAATGACCACAGTCGTAGTTCACTAAACTTACTCGAGAGCTACCGTGTGATGGTTGGATCCCTTACCTAAATTAACAAGTCAATATATCCAGTGGCGCCATTAGTGTGAAGTGGTACCGTAAACCTAGCTCGAAGGATATCTTACTTAACGCTACATCAGCTCATCCACAAGCTGTCAAACGTGCAGTCGTCAGCAACATGTTGAGAACAGCTGCAATTGTCTTCACTAGTGAAGCTGAGCGACTCGAATAATGACGTTCAGCCTACAAGATAGCTGCTGCGAACGGTAACACGGTGGTCTTGATTTCATGGCATGAAGCTTCACATCTGCGACTCATACTCTAGTATCGGAACAACATATGCTCTGTGAAGTCTCAAGATAGTGCTGTTTCATCGCGCCGAATATTTTGAAAACCGTAAAAAGAAGAGAGAAGGCCTTTCAATGTGATACCCTACCTTTGCATTGTTCGGAATCCAGTCTGGAGTTCACACAGAAGCCGGAGTTTCAGAGTTCACAAATGATTTCATTAGACTTTCGCAAGGCAAAGCTGCCGAAAAACAGCCTTGCCAAAATGAAACACCGATGTCTCTTCGAGACTAATAGGTGCTTTTCAAGCAGTAATCCACTTCATCTGCTGATGGACTGGAAAAGAGCTTGATTTACGCTCCTCTAATTTCTTTTCGTTTAAAAAGAGCTCGATACACGATTTTTTTAATTGCTCCTCACTGATTGCCAGACACATTTATGTAGTCATTGTACATGAAAACTTTTACAGCGGGATGCAGACATTTCTCAGGTTTAGATCGAAACTAACTGGGGAGACAGAATTTCTTCTTCGCGCTGCGTTACTGGAACATGAATATAGCCTCAAAAATCAGTTGCCAACTTGGACACGCAAGTGCCTTCCGCTAAGGTAGCAGACGATCCAGTCAAATATGCGTTTGCAAATCTGAGAAGTTCTTCGTAATTTGCTCCACGAAATGCATTTGATGTCGAAAGATGTTATGACAACGCCGTGACCTCTGCTCATAGCCGGACTTCAATCAAAACCACAGGCTGCACTGTAATTGCGGGTGGGTACACGTAAGGGAACGTGCCGTGCGTTAGGATTTGTTTCTTTCAAAGCAACCATGCTCGACTGTCACCTAATCTTGACATGGTATCTTGTTGCCTGAGGGTGTTTTTCTGAAGACTCGGAAAGCTGCTACAATGCTCATTACACAAACGTTTAGGCGTGTCACCTTCGTCAGAGCCTGGAAGCCAAAAAAATATTTGAGATTCATCGTGGTCAAACGACCTTCAGACCTGAGCTTACTTTAAGTGTGGCCTATAGATGTTCAGAAATGTCGCGCAAGTCACAGTAGGTAACCCTCATAAGGTGTCCGAAAGAAAACCGTTGACCCTCCTTTTCATATAGCTTATTTACCCCTTTCGTTGCGGGTAGACTCCGAGTGTCCTGACCCGTGGCTTGACAGCGGTGGCGATTGAAAACCGCACAGGTCAGGAGGAACGGAGAAAGCTCGTAGTTACGCTAAGGGATTCATATTTCACTCACTTTTGGATAATTCGCGCTAATCCAGAAGTCTTGAAAGGTTTTCGCGTGAGGTCGTGAGGTCCCGCATCGAGATCCCGATTAATACCGCAAACTCTACACCTTCGTGGTGGTGTCTCCCATGGTCTTCCAGAGACGTTTAAAGCCTTGATCTCTTCAGGCCCTTCATGTGCTCCTTGACCTTACATAATAGAGGTTTTCCGGTCTCACCTATGCATTAATCTCCCCGAAGGAAATTTAGAACTTACTATGTACCTGCATTCCTCATGAGCAGGGCTCTCCATCGATCTCATTTCAATTTGATGGGAACACTTCAGCATAACTAATTGCAAAGTCTTGGTTTGCGACTAATTAATGCGACAAATCGAATCAACGACCGTCGGTTGATCCCGAATTAGAAGCAGTATGGTATAAGCGGACGGCGACAGTTTATCAGGCAATGCTGGACAGGGCCCTAGATTCGCCGCAAAAGGGTTTTTAGGACCAAAGAGTAGTTGAGCAAGAGCATCCCATTCAAAGAATCGAGGAATCAGTCAAGGCATGCCAAAATGATAACAAATTAGTAGCAATATTGCATACGGTTAGCCACTAAGCGGCTGCGTATTTCCGAGTGCTTCTAGAGTTCGCCACTGTGTAACTACCTGTTTCCAAAGTGATTCATATCTATAGGTAACTTGGAATTTGTGATCAATACGAAAAATATGCCTTGGTGTGTATAAAATACTCCTACGAAAAATGTCCAAAAATAAGCAACCATCTAGTTGCCAGGCTAACATGATTGAGGATTGAGATGGCTGGAACACTGAGTACGGATCAGGTTTGTGCAACCCATGGAAAAATGGAGAAAACGCTTACAGAAGTGATTCAATAGACGAGATAACTCCCATTGCAGGGCGCGCACGGTTTCATCACTCAACATCCATGGCGTCACCTAATACGGGCCTTCATAAATCTTGAAGCAAGTGGTAGTGGTGGTAGAGAGCTCCTCTTTCAAGCCGGTTGGTAGGTTCAGCGGCGATGACTGTTCAGCTACTTTTGAAAACGAAGTTCAGGTCCTGCTAATCAATGGTTACTGAATTCTTACTTGGAGAGTGCAACCCACCCTTACTGCTCTATCATTGCTCAGGAAGTATTCCAGAGTGGATTGTTCCCGGGCGAGACAGATTTTCGCGTATTTCGAGACTACGGAAGAATACCGGGTAGGTTCTTTAACGTTGTCACGATTCATGATTTATTATAAATACCAATCGGGTCGTCCGGCTCACGCCGGGCCTCATTCCTTACTTTTACAAAGTAGTTAAAAAATGTTGTTGGTGAGGGGGGTGGCATCGCTTTCATTCACACTGAAGATTTGAGTGCAGAGAAGGAGAGGTAGGGCCTTACCTGTGCTTTGAATGGTTTTAGGCGGAAGAATATATTTTTAATCTAAGCCCGAGGAAGGAAGAAGCGCCAATGTGAGGTAATTACCTCCTGCAAAAAGCTAGAATGTGGTTCGAATTGAATATTCGTTTGGCCGTTGTATAGACATACATAGCACGATGCCAGAACGAAACCACAGCTTTGAAATATCCACTTCACATTTCTCACTTCACTCCGCAGTACTTACTCTACTCCACTGACCTACCCAACAAGTCACTCTTCCACATATAAGGAGGAAATGTAGGGTAGAGCTAGCGGTTTTCCATATCACTACCCTTATCGTAATCACAAAAATTTGCGGACGGACAGACTGGCAAACCTACAGACCGACAAGCACACAAACCGACACACCAAGTTACTGCTTTATAAAGAAAAGAGATTTTCCAACACTCTTCGTTTCGTATTCCCATGCATTTGTGAGTAATATCACGTGGAAGCTATGCTCGCATTGCTCAGGTTTGGATTTGGCATTTGTTCATAACGGTTACTGGTGGCATACAGAATTTGATGAAGGGAGACGGATCGCTATAGGGTCCATACAACGTGCTGGTAAGTGGCTACGTACATCAAGAATATTATTGACTAAGTTCACCACCTAGACTTCATTATGCATCTTACAGCTGGCAGTAGTCAGTTCTCTTCTTGCGATGAGCGCTACGACGAGTTACTGTTACATACATACGTATGTCCTCAGTCGCCAGTAACCACAACGAAGTGATTGGGTGTGCTGAGCGCCTCGTACTGTAACAGGGTGTACAGTTACAACTAAAGCAAGCCTGCTATTTCACTATTAATTGCTTCGGTATTTGAGTATCAGTTACTCTTCTTTTATCCCTATTAAGCCGATATATTTCTTTAAGGTAGCGCACCATCCAAAGCGTGAAAGACGAAAATGACATAACACATTGAGCACGGACTCGATATCCCTTTCCTTTTAATGCATTGCCCACGAATCTCCCACTACATTACAGTCATCGGAGACATCACTTCAAACCATTTCTCTTCACCTGTTACTTAAACGATATTAATCGTGAATTCGAAGGAAGGCAGAGGTGATTGTCTCTGCATTATTTACATCGAGCACATTCTGCTCCTCCGAAAAGGGAGGGGAATTGCAACAAAAGAGTGATCTCCACCGTTCATGTTGAAAACACACGTGTTCGTGGCAAAACCCTTGAGTAACGAATTGATGTCTCCCTGTGGTGCTAACTCGTTCGTTCGTTTTGAATGACGATGATTGTATGCTGATCGTGCATGGGTAAGGTCTGAGTATCTGAGATGTAAGTCAAAGCGGGTTGAAGCCAAAAAGCGGGCTAGCAGTCAGATGTTCTTTATCTTCTTCCTGACCTGACTCTACTGATCGCCGCTTGAAAAGCTTGTTAATTACAAAAATTTGAATAAAAAGCGGTTAGCCTGGATGATTACAAAAATTTGAATAAAAAGCGGTTAGTCTGGATGATTTCTGAATATTTTTCAAAAAGCCATGAAAATTCGGAAAAATTTGGCCGTCCTACACAGCTGATAATAGGCCTTATTTAAAAATCACAAGCATTACCTGAGCTTTCACTTCTGTCAGACAGTTTCTGAGTCTTGATCATATGAAATATGATCGAGATCCAGAAACTATAAGATGACGGACGCGAGGGAGTGTCGCACTGTATTCTTTTAATAAACCCTTTCTCCAATTTTGTTATCTTTGAAACCGATACCCACGAAGCCTTCAACCTGTGACATTGCATTAGAAACGCCTTTTCTGTGGTGCGAGTGTATATGGCAAGCAGTATCACTAGGTGGAGTTTCGTATTCCCTCGGTCCAGCGATCGGATCTTAGCACTTTGGAGACAAGTATAGGATTCGTAGGAGATCATGAATGGTTCGTGGTAAGGACTAATCACAAATGATTTCGCTGATCGTTGTCTAAAGATAAGTACCTCTTTTCGTGTAGCAACGGAGTATTACTACTCCAATGCTTAATATAGGGTGTAACTGGGTCGTAGATACCTTTTCTTGATGACGATGTGCCAGGACCATTTGGTATGTTGGAAAAGACGGTATGATAAAAGGTGGTGTAGTGGCAAGTGGCGCACACCTCACATACACTGTCACGGGTTCGAATCCCGGATCGATGTCCACCTAGGCCATCAAAACCCTTCGTTCCTCCTGGGTCGTTTAATTGGTAGCAGACTCGTCTGAGAGGTTGAAGTCACTGACTAGCACATCGGCCACCACCGCAAGTCATGGTATAGGCCACATACGCATTCAATACGCCACTACAACTCTGAGTGTAAGCCTAATACGTGGGTGCATCCCTCAGACGCGAATGATAATCGCCAGAAGACGTCATCCTTGTCCTTTTTTGACTTCTTCTTGTTTAGCGTTGAACCCGCGCCGTCGCAGTATCCGCTGTTCGTTTCAGCAGTCTCCACTCCTTCCTATCTGCGGGATCTTCTGCCGATACCGTAGCTTCTGGTTCCTTCTTGATCTCGTCCCGCCATCTCTTCTTTGGGGCTCCTCAGGGTCGCTTACCTTAAGCTTCCATTGTATTCCTTATCGGATGACTCTGTAGTCTTCTCAGTACATGACCGCACCATCGCATCAGCTCTTTCGTCCCATTTGAGCATTATCTTGAGCAGAGTGAAGCTGTTTCCCACGAGTTCTACTTAATGGCGAACTTTCGCTATCGCAAAACATCGCGGGCCTCACCACTGTCTCATGCACCTTTCACTCGAGCGTTCTGGAGCACCGACGGTGGCAGAGGATACCGGTGGGTGGGTTCCCTCCACTTCATCCATACCGCGTTTATTCGGGCTTTAACAGCCCGTTCTATGCTACCATCAGCGCTGGTACCGATACCATTTTTGCAATTTCCCCTAAGTATGGGTTCGCTTCGGCGGGGATCGAACTCGAACTCTTTCTTTCTTTCTGCAGACATGAGCCTACACTCTTACATACACGATTATCCCTGCCTTCCTTTTTTGACATCTTACACCTATTATAATAATGAATTCATTGAATTTTTCCATTCTGCACAGTTATAAAACTCTTGACATCAGAGATGTTAAAAATTTTTAGTCTACAAGCCTATTTTTCTATTGTAATTTCACTTTCTCACTGCCATAATCTCGAAACTACGGTGCGTTTATGTACGACGGTGATCATTTAACCTAGGCGCGATGCTCCATCTAATTAGTTGTGTAGGGTCATCGCGGCGTCTAGCGGTACTACGCTTATGTCATATTTTTGACTTCGCATAATATTGCAACGAATTGGATAAATGAGCGAATAAACAAATAGTTAGCCAATACACTGTCCTATCTGACGAGCATGTCGGCGAATTCTATCAACTGAAATTGGATAGAGTAGGGGTTGGAAAAATCGCTCACCGCTATTCAACATCTTCAACCCGGAAATAACATGGAAGGAGTATTCGGACGAGTTTTCAGTTATTGCAATTGCACAAAGAGCTGACAACATCGAGCCAGAACTGTACAGAACTGTCTTCCACTGTCGCTATGGCTCATGACAAGTTGTTTGAACTCCCTAAATGGGTTCCCTTGTGAATGGTGCAGCCTCTACAATGCCGGTGAAACTCATCCACGCGTACACACGGTACAATTTTTGAGCCTTTATACCTCCCTAACTAGGCCCTTTTCCGAACAAATAGTGCCAGATATGGTTTACTCGGGGGCCTCGAATTCATTCTGTTGGGGAATCTCGGAAGCCATTTTTATCGTGAACTGTGCCTTAATTCAATTTTCTTAATGGAAAGTCTAAACCCGACCGCTTCAACTGCAACACGCGGGTTGTTTAAAGAAAGAATGCCAAATGCTTTCAATCAACAATAGATAGTTCAAGAAAAATTTCGTCAAAAAAAATTTGCACTATTCGTTAAAGAAAACGATATGTCTCCAATCAGTGGCCTAACAGCGGTGCAATTGCAGGCTAAAGTTGGTTTTCAGGTGATAATGTGTACGCCACAGTGTTACATCTACTCCAATCACCGTACTTGAGCAATCCGGGTGGGAACGCTGACCAGAAATATGTTTTCTTCGACTTTCTTGGTAAGTTTCTTATTGTTATAAATGGGATCTATCTGTTAGAGCTAAGGTCGAAGCAAGAGTTGTTCGTCACAGGAACCAATTCCTCTAGCACGGACCATCTCAGATGTCAGTCTTGTTCCGAAATTCCCACCGCAGGTGGCAGTGGTTCCTCAGTAGTCACCTAATATTGCACTGAGAATTCTGAATTTTCCTTTACAGCACGCGACTGTATGTCATCGAGTGCGGCCAGCGTGGCACGCCGCTCCACTTCGAGAGCCCTAATTTGACCGATAAATTTATTTTGAGGGCTCTTCGTTGTCGTTTACTCCGACACTATTGGAAATGCGCTGAACGCGATATTTGCGATCACGTCTCTTGTTAAAGCTGGAAAGCATATTCGAAACGAATGTGAGTGTAACTATTAAATTTTAGATGATGCAGCAAAGAGAATTAAGAGAACAGCAGCGCCTATCCACTTTTTCATTCATGTGTGCCAATTCACGCACCTCGAAGGGGGAAAAATAATAGCCATTGGTTTGCAAATGAGGGTCCAACGATCTTCAAATAACTATGTATACATATAAGATAGCGGATAGTGAGGATAAAAATTAACCATGATCACCCATATTTGGAGTAGAAGTAAACCAAGACCATAAATATCTAAGCGAACACAACACCATAAATGAAGAGTTACGAGTGTGGAGGACACTCTTTTCTTTGGAGCGGCTGCGGTTGGTCTCCAAGTCCAATACCTACACCACTCGGCCATGGTTTCGCAGTTAAGGAGACTTGGGAGGGGCGACTATACCCACAAAACACGTGGAACAGATAAGCCATTTGATAGCCGAGTCCTGTAATATCGTATGTAGTGTTCAGGTCACGGGAGGAATGACACGTAAGCGAACAAAACCTCTTCTGTACCCTTTAATGATGTTTACCCAACCTTCCGGAATTTTTGTAGCAAGGCTTGGAAACCCAATTGTTTGCTAGGTTTCTACCTGGTTTCATGTCAAGAGTATCCAGAACCCTAGGGTTAGCTGATTGAATAACATCACTTTATTTAAACTCGGCTGTAACAACTTCATCCGTTTTTCGTAATGCGGTATATTACATGAAGGTACTCCTGGTTTCTGAGGTAAATAAACCTGGAGTAAGAGTGTTTTTTTTACAGTTTGGTGACCACTTTCTCGAGGCTGGGGTTCCATAATTGAAAGCAATAGTTTAGATGAAGTGCCACGTATGCATTATATAAGCGCGGAAATAGTCTGGTCCCCTTCATTGGGTGTTGAAGACAATCGTGGAAAACGCAGCAAAGCCTCCTTTGCAACTTTTCCATGTTGGCTGTGAACTTCAGACTCGTCTAGATATACCCGCAGATCCTTTAAAATTGTGTAGCTGTCCAAAGTAGTGCCACTTATATTATATACACTTTGTACTGCATAACCTTAATTAAGGGCTGTGCGTTTGTTGACATTCACTAAGAGTTCCTATGCGGCTACCCAATTCACCACTCTGTTGTACTGTATTGTAGCTGTATTGTCAGTTGTACTTCTCTTTTACTGTGGCCATGTGGCCATCATACGCGGCGTAAAGTTTTACGTCAGCCACACACATCTGGACTTTCCAATCGGGTAATGAATAGATACTAGCGGGTAGGTCCACTGTATAAATCAGAAAAGTAATAGTGATAGCACGCTCTCCCGAAGAACACCACTACTGCAGTCACTGTACCTGTCAAAAAAGGTGTGCCCCACTTTGACGGCCATATGCCGGTCGTGCAAGTACGATTTCAGCCACTCAAAGAGTCCCAGTAGCGCCAAGGTGATAAAGCTTGGCAAGCAAACTCTGATGCCCTTTTCTATCGAATGCCTTGAACAAAAGAACGAAAACAATATCCATATAATTATTGCTGGCGAGAGCTAAACTTTTATTTCAACCACACAGATATGTGTTATATATTCTGTACAGCAACGTAAACAGCGTCGAAGATCCGCTGAGAAATCCGTGTTACTCTTTTGGTATCACTCAGGACCTGTACAGCCAGCCTATCCCTAACGACGTTTTCTATGATTTTTGCTGGTGTAGGCAATGACTGATACAGTGGTTGCACACTTTTCATATACAACATGAGGGATCCCTCATGTTGGTTCTGAAAAGAATGATCCTAAGCCCTTAAGCATTTGCGCACGTCGAAAGGAAACTGTGAAAGACATCGGCAAATTAACTCTCTGATCTAATAGCTTTCTGTGAATCCGATGCGGAGCAGTGGCGTTCTCATCGGATATAATAGGCATACCGCCAATGTTTTCGATTTCCTTTTTAGAGCGAAGGAGCAATTGTTCGATAGTTGCTCTCAGCAAAAGGCGCTTTTCGCGATCCTTTCCCACTTTTTAATGTGCTGATCAGGATCAAAGCGAGCTTCACTATATCGACTGTTTTATATAGGTTGGGCGAGGGAGAGGGTACCGAAAGTCTCTTTTTTTGGGCTATTACATTTGCAATATGTAAGGGAAGTGTTAATCGACAAGTTCTAGAAAATCCGAAGGGAAAAAATTTATACGCGATTGAAATTATTAAAACGTCAAGTCAGCCATTGCTCTTAAAGGCACAGTTCACGATTATTTTCTGTAATCCAGATTATGATGAAAAATGGAAGACAAGAACGAAACTAGTGTGACTGAGGTGAAGAAACTGCGTGCATCGGTGTTTCCAAAGTGAAAAAAGGCTTCGAAAAACCGTTAAAAAGGGGGCTGGACGAGAATGAAACCAGAAAAATGAAGAAGAGTGGGGCGTCCGGACGAGCTAAACAGTGTGTTTCACTGCGCGCGTGTGGGTCTTATTGCGAAGAACAGACTATGGTAAGCAAAAATTCACTCACTCATATAATAACTTAACAAAAAAACCATAGTAACAACAAAGGTAGCTCACCTTCTTTAGCCTCTGGGAGTAGGAAATTAAATAAGGGATCGCGGCTGCAAAAAGAAAAAAAGAGGAAAAAAAGAATGGGAGAAAAACATCGCCTCATCACTCGGCGATTAGCTGATTGTACGTGGGTCCTAGAACGAATAATAGCAATCTGTCTTGTCTCGACACTCGTCTAACGTGACACCGATCGAGGGGCGGGAAAGCGAACTACGGCAGCAACGGGGCTTCCACTATGCCCTAAGCGCCGAGATTGTGGGAGCGAGAGGGTCCCCTTTACCACCCATGGGGGGCGCTGTGTATTCATAAGGAAGAACTCACCAAGGAGGGGTAGTCTACTTACCGTGGGACTTTGAATGGAGA